TTATTAAAGTATTTTGCCAGATAAGTTCAAAAAATCATTTTAACTTTTATAAGACTATTGTTAGCGATTACGATCCAAGCAGGCATCAAACACTGTCGTGTACAGAAGTTACAGATATACAAGTATCCAAGTAATTCGGCTGCCTACAGATCTCGCATCTAGTGCATTAGTAAATAATTAATTTTTATGGTAATTTTCCGCGAGTCAGCTGCCAGTCAAATTTACTGTGAACGTTAGCGTCATCTAAACTTAACTTCAAACTGTTATGAACTTAAACTTCCTAATTTATATGCAAGATGCCGTCAAATAACTTCATAATCAACTGCTCAGCTTGTGAAAGGAATTTTGCGTCTTTTTCGGCATATTCTAAGCACTGGGAAACTCGCCACGTGGATCGAAACATGCCACGGACAACAATGTTTGTCCTCGAGGAACAAAAATTGAGATTCCCCCGAAAAACAAGGAAGGGAGCCCATACTCGATCGTACAAGACATGGATTTCTTGTGCCCTAGAACGAGTTCGAAACACGCACCATCACCGTTGCAAAGGTAAAGTTCAAGTTTAAGTTAAACCTATTTGATAAAAAAATGACTGACATGGAGCTTTAAGTAGCTTTAAACTCTGCCATAAACGGCCTTTTGAAGCAATTCTAGCAAAAGTTATTTTTCTTTTTTTTTTCTTTTCTTCTCTGTAGGAAAATGGCACCAACTAGAATTTCACCATGTCCCACACCAGTTCTTTGATCGATTTATAAGCGATCTTGGGAACCCTACTCCAAACACAATCAAGGTTATGCCACACTGGCGAGCACCAATCATGTCGAAGTCAACTGTAATGGAGTCCTATAAACTGTATGAGGAGGACTGCTTCGAACGGATTTTTGGAAATGACCTTGAAAAACACGTGGCTTGGCAAGGAGAAGATTTATGTGAAGGCGCTCAGCTTGAGCCAGAAGATCCGCTCGCCGCCATAGCAGCAGCCAAGCGTAGGGCTAATCACTACCATGGGGGGCAAACTACCCATATAACTTGCCGTTCAAGTATAGTAGTTGGAAAAGGTTTAGGAAGAGCCACCCGCGAACTGGAAGTGAAATGGTACCCATATATTTACGGAAAAGACCTGGACTGTGGCAAGATGTGTCTCCGTTTTTACGTGGCTAAATACCGTTTCAGTCAGACCTGATCTGCTAGAGATGAACTGTAGTCCTGTTAAGGCAATGACAATAGGTAAAGACGTATCTCCTTTTTTAAAATCTAAAATCACGTCACTTACAGTTGACTATCAAACGGTGGTAGGACTYATGAATTGTTTCCTTTTTTGGTTTTAACTTCAATGAATGATGTTATTTGTGCATATACATTTATGAATCCACCTACAGTTAGCTTGCAAGAAAGTCAAGTTACGATTGTTTTGACCTTCGAGATTAGGGCACTTTTTAAATTAGTTATCCGACACTAATAAAATCATTTCATAATAAAATAATCATCTGAAATAATACTAAGAAAAAGGATACATATTCAATATTCRTGTACTTGAAGACCACTTGAYAATTTGTGTCATAAGGTCCAAGCGAAGATTATTCATTAAAGAGTACTTCCACCTGATGTTGTTGGTTGCAGACACACCCCTCGAAATGAAGTCTCTGGCAGCAAGGATGATGCCAATGCCACAACTCCCTCTGCCAATGTTTCTGCATTTCAGTTGCGATGGCATACCAAACCGATCAAAAGCCAGACAGTTTACCCAAAATCTTGATTGAAGGGCTGCCCAATGAGGGAACGTTTCGTGCATGAGTTCTAGAGCTCTCTTTAGGCAATTCAGTGTGTTTGCGGGAGGATACACTTTTAACCCGTCGTCGAACATCATTTTTCCATTTTCAATGTCAATGACAGCTAGACCCCAATGATTTGGCATATGGACTGGGATAATAATAATATTAATTTCGCTCAGGTTTTTCCTTTCTAATACGCAGTTTCTTATTTTCTCTTTTGTGAATGCTGTATCTTTAGCCTTCATCCAATCATAAAATTCTAAAGGTAAGTAAAGGACATTCGAGTGTCCCTCCTCGTTGAACTTTTGAACGCATATGTCGACCACGAAGTTGTCAATGTGCCTCTCAGCAATGATATCAGCGAAAGAAAGCACATCTATAGACTTCCCTTTAAGTCGCAGGATAATTTCATTAGGGGGCTTGTTCCAAAGAACGTCTTTCAATCTATCCAATTCTCCACTTGGAACATCGTTAAACTGAGCCAACCAGATCGTTTCCTCTGTTACCATGGCAGCAGTACTTGAAACACGCGAAAGGCGTATCAGTGACTCAAGATCGTCTTCACTGAATGTTCCAAAACCGTTTATATGGACTCCAAGGTTTGGTACTAGACCTTTTTTCTTTTCGATTGCCAACAAATCTTCGGCTCTCTTTAAAACAGCGACACATGGCCGTTTTTTTAAAGAAAACAGATCTCCTGTCTGTGTAACTGTTTGCACTTTCATCACCACGGCGGTGGTATAGTCAATAGGCGGTAAAAAAGCGTCAATCTCGGCAATTTCCCGCCTCGTTGATGTTGTAGCTAACTTGGTTTTGACCTGGGATGAATGACTTGGTTGTTTTTGGTGATTTGCTTCATGGATCTGATTCTGTTGACATGAGGTTGTAGAGGTAGATTGTACTATGGGTGTCGCGGTGCACTGCTTTGGTTTTACATTAGAATCTGTGGTGCTTTTTGTGGTAGTAGNGGTAGATTGTACTATGGGTGTCGCGGTGCACTGCTTTGGTTTTACATTAGAATCTGTGGTGCTTTTTGTGGTAGTAGTTGTATTGGTAGATTGTACTATGGGTGTCGCGGTGCACTGCTTTGGTTTTACATTAGAATCTGTGGTGCTTTTTGTGGTAGTAGTTGTAGTGGTAGATTGTACTAATGGTGTCGCGGTGCACTGCTTTGGTTTTACATTAGAATCTGTGGTGCTTTTTGTGGTAGTAGTTGAGGGGACGAACATGTTCTCCCAATCTCCATGGTCATACTTTTGCAGACTATCAACAATGTTTGAAGAAACATGGGTTCCAGTCTTACTGTCGTACTGATATTCTAAAAAGTCACCACCAAACATTTTGTCAAATAGCCCATCTATCATTTTGACCCAAGGCCAGTCTTCTGGAGACAATTTTGGWGCGTTTTTGGTTGTMCAACCACATCCCCTGAATTTGAAGCACTTCTTATCTAGAAAAGAGAATTGAAAAAATGTGTATGCAATACCTTACTTTACTTTGACTTGGCAACCCCTTTGAATGATCTAAGGCTGCCATGAAATCTGCTTTTAATTACATTTTATAAATGCCACTTACCAGTGTCAATGCATTCTTTTGCATTTCTGAATGAATATCGAAGAGAGAGCAGTTCATTGGCATACCAATGAGTAAGAATTTGTGGCACTGAAAGAAAATTTAAAAAAACATTATGGATTATTCCACATATTTGCTTGATATTGGTATCCAGAAAAATTGCTATTTAGTGACAAAAAACACAAATTTGCATTTTCTAACAATGACAATGTTCTAGATTCGTACTTTACAATTTTACAATTATTATTGAACATAATTGCAGACTTTTTTTGATGTGATGACCTTTGAAGTTGATAGCAAAAGGGCACTTTGATTWAATAACTGCTGTTATTTCTTAAAGAGAAAAAGAGTAAAAAAAGGAAATGAAAATAGAAGTGTAGATAAGAAAAAAAAAGAATGAAATGTTGTTGCACATACRTGAATGGCCAGATCCTGTTTTATCGTGGTTGGATGCCTTGGAAAACAACTGCTTGTGTAGTATGTGTGAAGCCTCAAACCCCTGGCCAGAATACTTGTATAGAGAACCAAACTCTCGCAGTAGTAAGGCACTATGGTCAATTGTTAAGTGTCCATAATCACCTGATATTGATACAGAAAATACAATTTATTACTTGAATGAAGTAGATTATAATTTAAAATGAGTTGAAACTTGAAAATCTATCTGCACAACTCCCAATGATCATGTAAAAACAACATTTCTTCACATTCAAATGAGACAAAAAGAAATTGTCGAGTATTTATCATTTAAGTTGTGAGTGAGTAAATGATCATTTACTCAATGCTATTGTTCTTTTAGTTATATCAAAATATTTCTTTCATAATGAGCAATGCCATTTAACTTTCTAACTATCTTCATCATAATCCTTTCCCACTTTTCATTGATTTTCATGCACATGGGCCTTTAATACACTACATACATAGATTGAAGTCACTAAGCCCGTGAAATAGATATTAGACTAATACAGTTTACCAGACTCTAATTCCATTGTTTTCTTGTGTATCTATTTGACTATTAC